ACATGCCTCAACGTCCTTCCGCCGTAGAACCCTGATGCAAAGCGAAGCAGCCCCAAGAGGACTTGTCCTTGATGCCTCGTGATGCGACCCTCATCCGACACCACGCAGAGAAGATCTTGGATCTTTTCCGCACGACCTTCCTTGTTGGAAAGGACCAATGTGCCAAGGTGCAGCTTAGCCACATCGGCCGACAGCCCCAAGACGTCAAACCTGCTCATGAAAGGATGACCTTTGCCTCCCTCCCCAGTCTTGGCATGACGCCAACCAAGGAGGGACAAAGACCTTGAGGCGCTGGCGTCCGCTTCTGAACCCATGTCTTCAGGAACGAGCATTGGGAAATCATCGTAAAAATGGGAACATGGAATATGCAATACCTTCGTCAGGAGCCACCAGATGCTCCTAGAGACCCGGTTGAAGGCAAAGACCGCTGAAGTCGATCCAAACATCAAGGAACTGCTAAGGTAAAACGAGTGACTCCCATCTTCTTCTTCTACCATGATGACCGCAAGATCCCTGTGACAACCTGCTACAGGCAGCTGCTTGTACGCCTTGGCCAAGTCGAGGCACTTAGCTACCCAAGGCCGGGCAGCCTTTGGATTGTTGCCCGACAGACGAGCTACTTCTAGCGCCATGGCGACGAAGAAATCCGCATCTTGTAACCGAAGTTTGATGGTGGCTGCATAGGCTTCGTTCAAATGTGCTTCGCAGCAGTCCTCAATCGGCCTAAGCTTTTGCCCCTGCTTAATGATGAAACGTCGGATGGCCAGCCAATGCCGATGCCCAAAGTGAGCTGTAACCTGCTCTTCTGTAAATGGTCCTTGGATAAACCCCGAAGCGAGCTCCTCTCTAGTGGCTTCCAACAGATGGGCTGTGTGCTCCGGCTCCTGATGCAAAGACCTAGACATCATTCCACGACGCAAGTCGGGTGCCGCTGCCCGCAACTCTGCCTCCGTTAGAACCGCCGGCCTCACCTTGGTTTCAAAACACGGCGGGCAGTCCGAGGCACCAACGAGCGGGACACCCTG